TTACATCCTTCCTTTGCATCATCTTGTCATTTTGTCCTGATCCCTCTCACGTCCGTCCCAAAGAACTGTCTCCCAGATTTGAGCGCCACGCTTTGCTTCATCCATCGGGTGTAAATATCGGCGTGGGCGTGTATTTGGGGACCAGCTGACGCCAGAGAAAGTCGACAAGAGGTGTGTTTATTAGAATGAGGATGTACTTGGTCGTATTTGTAGGCTTGATGAGACTTGGGTAGGAGTCAACCTCGTTGGGAACGAAAAACGACGTGGAGGAGTAATTTGGATTTTTGCCTCCTGGGCCAACTTCTTTGATATTGCGAAATTTGACTGAACTTAGCTCTGAGAGAACATTTCACTCCCAGGTTCGTAGAGGACACCGCGTACAGGTGTTCAATCTTGCCCTTCGGAGAAATCCCTTATGTATATAGAGAAAAGCAACCCTCACTAGAACAATGACAATAGTAAGGAACTCAAACATCCACATCCCGGTTATCTCATATATCGTGACCTATAAACGTCTATCTCATCTCTATCACTAAACGACAAAGCTTCAACAATTCCAATTAAGTTTCGTCATTTTTTGCGGTCATTCGCCCAAATATTGAGAAGAGTGACCCAAGCACATCGTAGTCGAAAATGATTTTTATAATGCAGTCCATAGGTCCTGCTCAGTTGAGGTGATAACTAATCTTCTTTCTTCGCGCCGAGATGAAGTCTTGGTCCATTTCCATTACATCTCGATTGAGCTAGGCAGAATATGGAAGCATATGCTAAATCATCAATGATTACATAGAATATATTCTATCCATTGTGCTCCCATCAGCAAAATGCAATTTCCACTGCAGTGAGAAGACCAGTCATATTATCTTGTCTGCCTCTTTTAAAGGGACGTACGTATTTTTGGGTTTGGAATGCCAAAAGAGATCCAGGAATTAGCGCTTCATCTTTCGTTATTGTTCAGTAATTTTTGTTACAATTTGGGATGGACGTCTCGGATATCTCTGAGCGTAGCCGTGATTAACAGAGGATGGATAGAGTAAACTTAGTCTGCTTCGTAAATAAAGTTCATATAATAATAACGATGGACTCTCGAATCAGCTTCCAACACTTCGATGCCCAACCCTCTATCTACAACAACTAATCTATATATTACATGTTCTTGGTATATGCTTGAGGCAAAACGGATATTTAAGGGAATATACTGCTAGTCTGATCAGGGTCATTATACTTTATCGTAGCTGCACGTATCGCCCTCTTTCACCATAATCACCTCAACTATGGTAACTTTTAACAATTTGTACTGGTTCGTAGAGCGTCGGTCGGTATGTTGGAAATAAAGCTATTTGCATTTCTTTCTACCGACAAATATTGTTCCGTGCATCTTACCTAAACTATATCTTTGAGTTCAGGCGAGAATCCATACTTCTAATCCACTTAGACTCAAGCAATGACCTGTTTGGATCCTATTCTTGCCAAATAAACCCAGTATTTGGCTTGTTCGTATTTTCTCTTGCATTCCGAAGTATTCTAGGTCGGTGGATAATTCTTTTCTGGTCAGAGATCTCGATAAATTCTACAGTCAGCTCGTTTCTGGGTGGCTCTTCTCCCTTACAATTCTACTGTTCATATCATGATACCAGTAGTAAATTTAGTTATTTAGGCAAACTCAACTTCTTCTCCGTTCTCAGGCATTCCTTGCTCAGAAGTTCTTTCTATTCTCTGACACGGTTTAAATCAAAAGTCCCATATTTTCACGTTCATGATTGTTTTGATTGAGTAATGTTTCATAAAATTTTGTAGAATTAAAGGGTCTTTTCTTTGGTTAGAACACAGCTAGCCTAGTTGAGAATTCGAATATTCTCTTACGAAAACCTTCTTTTTTCTCGGATAATTCTGCTCCTGAAGGTTGAAGAGTGGCTCAAATTTCCGAATATTTTTTTGATTCCACGCCATCATTTTTGCTTACTAGCTTATCCACTGAGGCATTTATTGCAGACATTTGCCTCAATAGAAGAGCAATTTATAATAGTCTCTCTTCAAACTTTTGATCGATTCTCTTGTTAAAATCTTTTGACGCTGCGAATATAGCTTCAAAAGCTCTAGAACTAGTTTCATTGATTTTGGCTTGCTCGGCAATATTATCCTTAATCAAGCTGTTTGATAGGCTGTGCCTTGGTATCTGATCAGATAACAATGTACGTTGGGATAAAGATGTTCTTGTTTAAACTACAATAGTGATACATCTATGATAAACTTTCACGAGGCTGACTATTCAGCCTTGTACCCTTAAATTGAGCGAAGACCTCATCACAATATTACTTCCACACTAAATACTAAAATTACTAAGTTGTCGAAGAGTAACCTGTGTAATGACAAACAACACAAGCCATCCAACTGAAGGTTGCTCATGCCGAACGTGATGACTAAAGTAGGAGTGAAATTGCGTAAAAATTTGGTGGTGTCTTAAAGGGGGGAGGAGCTAGAATTGTGATGTTCTCTTCATAAAATTTTATATTTTGTGGGTTCTGGTTGGTCAGTTTATAATCAAAATGATTTCACGTAGGTTTCTCCTGGCTCTGACTAACCAACAATAAGATTTGAATAGAGCTTGAGTCTTAGAACGCTTGACTGATTCTTCTGTGATACGGTATCACCAATTTATTTAAATATTCCCCCGCGCTACGTGAACCGAACAGGAACACGTAATTTGCACAGTCAAATTGAAATCAAAATTGGACTCATATAGCTATGGTATTATCTTTTTTTTTTTTTTTTTTTTTTTTTTTTTAATCATTTAATGTGTATTCAGCTATCTAGCTATGACACATGGCCGGTGCTATGTATACATATTGGATGACTCTTTTGACATTAGAGACACTCATACTCTGGATTTCATTTGCAAATACCACTATGAGGTATGTTTGCTTACACAAACAGTCGACCCTCCTCCGTTAGTACCCACCAAAGGGAATTTAAAAACCTTTAGTTATCCAAGCATGCCTTCGTCATCCATGCATACCAGCGCCGCGAGAAATGTGGTTGTGTTTTGCCGGATTCGAACCAGCGATCTGCTGTCTCAAGTGGGATATGTGTCCAAGCTATCCAGACTCTACTTGGCAGACCAGCCAAGACGATGTACCACCGCACCATCCAACCATGGCAGTTTTTATAGTGTCGCCTGCACTCTCGCAGCCGAAGACTTGGCACGCACAAAGCTCAATTCGTAAAGACCCCTTACCAAAATTCAAAATTGTACGCCCGTCGAGACTGCATCCAATCCTCTGCATCATCTTATTAACTTGTCCTGATCCCTCTCACATCTATCCCAAGGAATTGTCTTCCAGATTTGTGCGCCACGCTTTGCTTCCTCCGTCGGGTGTAAATATCGGCGTGGGCATGTATCTGGCGACCAGCTAAGGCCAGAGAAAGTCGACAAGAGGTGTGGTCATTGGGATTAGGATGTACTAGGTCGTACTTGTGAACTTGATGAGGTTTAGGTAGGAATCGATTTCGTTGGGAGTGAAAGATTGATATGGTGGAGTAATTTGAATCATTGCCTCGTGGGCCAACTTGTTCGGTATTGCGAAGTTTGATTGAACTTGGCTCTGGGAGAATATTTCACTCCCAGGTTCGTAGAGGACACCGCGTACAGGTGTTCAGTCTTGCCCTCCTGGGTTACAAATGGTATTATCTGTGGCGGTAGGAAATGGTGACGTGTTTCTTTGTTTTCATTGAAGTGTCATACAAGTGAGTTCAGTCTCTCTAGAACTTGCGACATGAATATACCTCCTTTTGTCATTTCGCATGAAGCTTGTGTATGACTCTATCAGTTTATAAACTATATTTACAATTTAACATGGTTATAGAGTATCTTTAGAGATGAGATTTTCTAGGTCTTTATAAGGTAGGTGAATAGAAGTTCTCTCTGCCGTGAAGCCGCCAGTAACTGTGTTATTGTTACAGATATACGACCATCTACATGCGCATAAACAAGTGGCAAAGGTATGGTCCGGTTAAGGTTCCTCTTCGCCTAACGTCAGGATCAGACCCAAAGAATTAACTTCCTATCAGAAGCTATATCAGCCGCATACCTTCGTCGATTTCTTCTTACCTAGTGTGAGATGCTTCGGAATACGGAGGCTATGACTGGATTTCAAAAATCTTCTTGTCGATGGCAAGTGGAGGCAAGAAAGTTAGCCTAGGTTTCACGTCTCTTTCCAGATAAGACTAGGCGATAAACAAAGGAAGCCCGAGAACGATGGCAATATCGGCGGAAGAAAAGTGTGGAGGGTCTTTTCCAGCTTCCTATTACACACGATCCGCCAGGGCGCTTTACGAACAGATTGAAGGCCATTAAGCCCTATCTCTAGGCGTCCACCCTATCTTCTCGCGTGTTCCATGTCACTGTCGAAGTCGGCCTGTTTGTCGATGCAATAAATAGCAACACAGCCGTGAGGAAAATAATTTGACTAAAATTGAAAAAAAGTGATTTCGACTTGGCTGGACATCTGCTTGGGTACAGGCTGAAATTAAAGGGGAATGATTTGATAAATGTCGAATATTTAACTCTCAGGAATATCGCGGAAGCGCACCTAAATGATCAAGTCTACCGCGATTTGTTCAAGCATCGAGCTCAGAAGATTCACAAATTTGACGCTCAGCTTGAAGTTTAAAGATTTACAAGACTTTCACTCAGCATATGGATACATGGGGATATGCAAAGGGCCCTACAAACCAGATTTGACTGCTGCTCGAAACACTGGTTGAAACAATCATGACAGTTATAATCTTTCGACAAGCCGCTTCATAGGCAACCAGTTACCTTGATGGCAACATTTACATTTCCCATCTATCATGATAGCTTAGCTAGACATTCAATGTAGGCGTGTATTGGACCTTACTCGTGAGATCTCTGATACCCCTGTCCATTTAGAAGTAATTTATTTCGACTTGAGTAGCCAGCAGCCAGTACATTACAAGCTGTTAATGTTTCAGAGCGTTGATTATGGATGCGCAATATTTGTTCTTCTCAAAATAAAACGAGGTGATGTGCACGGTTGCTCTAACGGATGGAAATCTGGGGGAGATTCGAAAACGAGTGAGGGCGACGGCGGCCCGAATTTAGTTCCGACGCACTTAGGTCAGTGACAACCTCGTTCTCGCGCCCGTAAACACGCGGCGGTTGGTAACCGAAATTCCGAAGTCGGGAATTAAACGCGGCGGCCAGCTTTAGCGAGCCAAGCGCCGGAAGTGGCTTAGCGGATCAACGGTCAGGCCACCCCATATGGAGCTGCACGCACTAATTTCCGACGGCGCGGTTCGTGCGCTTTTTAGGGCCGTGTCCTGCCAGCGGAGGGGCTGAAAATCGGGGCAGCTCGAGGATAGTCCTGACCTGTCTCAGTGCAAGGACTAGGAGATCCCAGTCGTCGGGATCAATCGGGACCCGCTCGACTTCTCGTGTGGGCCGGTCGAGGCCTGCTGCGAGCGGTGACGCTTCATGCTGCCTGAACTATGACGAGAGGAAGCTGGAGAATTCGCGGAGACGCTTGCTGCTCCACCGCTCTAGTCCCTAAGATGAGAGAGGCAATTCGTGCAGCTAAGACTGATGCCGGTACATATGGAGGCATTGCATTTGTCAACCATCCTCTATTACCGGAAGTGACGACCAGGGTATCGAAACGGACAACGGGCCACTATCTCTGCCGATACAGCGTCACTAATTATGTTTACCCGAGTCTTCCAATTCCGGTATGACATGGTCGTTAAAACTCACGTGATCATTTTTTGTAGCAGGATGAGTGTGCCGGCATGAGCTAACGCAGTCGCCGGCAAAGACGAATTCTTCACCTTCCAGTGGTGCCGGTGTAATCGCTCAGTATGCTCTGCATATCTGGGATAGCCAAAAAGAATCGCATCCTTCGCAACGGCAACTTGCTGAGCGTGGCCCAGTCGATTTCGATTGACACATGGGCTAGGTTCCGTTCCCGGCACGATAGATCAAAAGTTTAAGTTTGGGTCTCTTCTATTCAGTCTTCTAATAACTTCCCGATTGAGTTTGACTGGGAGGACTTTACGACTCACCAATAACCCTCCAAGGGTTGGATGGTGCAGTGGTACACCATCCGGGCCGTTCTCCCAAGTAGAGACTGGGTAGCTTGAACACCTACCCCATTCGAGACGAGAGAAAGCTGGTTCGAATCCAGTCAGACCCACACACCACTATCTCTCACGGTGATGTTGTGCTTGTGTGATGATGAAAGCACACTCGGATAGCCACAGGTTTTTCACGCTTTTTCCTGTGGTGGGTATGCACGGAAGAGGTTATACGCCGTAAGGGTTAACCTCGAGTGGTATCTGCAAATGAAATCTGGGTGTGAGTGTTCTAAACGTCAAATTGAGTCATCCTACTTAAGGTACATATCTTCCGATAAAATCCTGCATGGGCCTCAAGGGGCCAAATCAGGTAAAAATGAATTATATATATAACCCTCCAAAATAAAAAGTAAAATTCCTTTCGTTTTCAACCTTACTAACATTGTGTGCAGGACTGGGCAATTGCTCGGCCTAATTTTAGACAAGCACCTCGACCGCGACATCAACATTCTCAACTTTTCGACACATTCCAAAGACGGCGCGAACTAAGAAGCCTCTCTCAGGCAATGAACAATGTACGACAAAAGCTGGGGCACCGATGCCTCGATTTTGAGCTCTCGATTTCGGAATTTCAGCACTCTCAAATGGAGGTTGAGCGCAATGCAGGAGAGAATTCGCGAAGAACGATATGTGATTTTCAACAGGCTGTTGGCACAGTTGATCGGGTGCTTGATGTGCTTTCTTGAAGTGGTAGGTTGGATTCCTACATGGCCTGTTAAAGGGGGGACTACGGCTGCTCGTCGTGAAAGAGTACAGGAGGAATTATTGAGGTCTTCCCACGAAGGTTTTCCCTCAATACATGGTCTTAGGATCATGGTGAATACGTTCCTACCTATTCGACCCGACGTAACTAGCGTGAGGCACGTATTTGGAAAAGTCTGGCACCGGATGGGCTTTGCTGGAGAATGGAGGAACTTGTACTCTAGATGTCCTCCATGCGTGTCATGTCCATTGGATGGAGGGTGTAAGCCTGGCACGATAAATATAATCATCAGCTAACGCAGTCGTGCTATCGAAAAAGCTTTGGCGAAGACGACGGGTAGAGTTATCCAAGACTTCTTCCAACGGGCGAGTGCTTGAGAGAGACGCCAGCCTCATACACCTTAGTCTTCTCTCGTTGTCGATTCAACAACATCCAACGATCTTCATGGGACGTAGCATTAGCAACCCTCCATTTAAAACGCTCGGATCAGCACCAGTGGTGGCCATACAGCTGAGTCTGGACAGCTAGTAAAGAGGCCTAGATTTCGGGCTAAAGTTTAATCTGTTGTCTTCGATACGTATAAACAAATAATACTGTTGCAAATCACACCGATAACTCTTTTTGGCTTACATTAATTGCCATTGCCATGTAAACAGCGTATATAGAGGGCATTAAATAGTTTAGGCTGTAACAGAACAAGCGTTTAAATGACGCGCACTCGACTCCTCCGTTCACAATATCCAAATTTACCTTATCATGCTAAGGCCTGATATCCATTGACTGACTCTCTTGTTTGTGACTTCTCGCCTCAGTGGTGAGAATTAGAGGGCATGGGATGCTGTGACGGCGCTAGTTTGGAAGAGTCGTTAAGGCATGCTATAATCAAATAGTTGCAATATTGTCCGCGCCGTATCCCCACAAAATAGGGCGAAGTAGGTTATACAGAAAAACGTCTTTTGTAGTATTATTTACAAATGATATGTAGAGCATGAAGATCTTGTCAGTCCAAAAGTCGTGAATTTAGAGACAAGTCCCTGCTCATGTGTCAAAGCTGGATAGCTGAATATACAAGAAACATAAATTATCTGACTGAATTCTCGTTACATCCAATGTCAATATCATGAACCCTATTTTATGATTATACTATGCTTTACTTCGAACTCATGGGAGTCAAGCAGTTACGTTCATCTGTACTGGCGATACAGATATGGTAATCTCTTTGCTCCGTCTCACAATCCACGTGCACCGGGCAACGATATCGATGGGATCTATAAGTTTGTGGCAGTGCATTCTCGATAACGCCCTTAAACGCCAAACTTTGCCGGCTGTGCAACGTCACGGAGTTGCTGAACCCGATATACTTAGTCCTGAAGTCAGGCAATTGTCGCATCCATGATAATCTGGTATGTCGTCATGACGAATTAAGGGATACTATGTCTGCGAGCATGAGATAAATATGTCGCCTATCGAGATTGGTCTACACTGTGGTCTGAACGAAAGATTATCTGCAGCGAGGTATTTGCAAATCTTCGTGCTATGATTACCGAAGACAGGAAATATAGATATGAGAACAATCATTCCAACGTATGCTCAGAGTCATGCACAACTCCCACTATTACAACAAATCCTGAAAGGTGTGATCTATCCATGGAAGAAATATGGCTTGTAGATTGCCCAATAATTATTCACGCCCTTCGATAGCCGCGCACAATATGCTAAAATCAGTCATCACATCATCTTGACTTCTCAAGTCCAGAGCGAGAAGGTATTGCCGATGTTAAGAAACAACTCAAGGATCAAGTCTATGGAAGGTATTATTTGGTGCCGGGGTTATCACTGCACTCCATGCATTCCAGCTTTCGTGAAATTGAAAAATGGCACTCTCCAACCAGGAGCAAGGGTCTAAAATTGACAGAGCGTGTGCGTCTATCTGTTCATCGCAAGGATAAAGCAGATACTACGCTCACAACACATCCCCCACGGTGAACGATTCTAGACACTAGGCTGCGCATTGATCAGTGCCCAAAGATATGGGAAATGCGAAGAAAAGATTGCTCAGTCCCCTAGTTTTCTTTTTTGAGATGGTAGCCGATATCGATATGCACAAGAAGTAAGGTAGTAGCAGTCTTCCAACAGTGCCTCTAGGAACAGAAAGGTTAATCTTGAAACTGTGCTGTTTAAGGGATTAGCCCTGTAGGCGCAGCTGGGCTAGCTCGTAATAGGTTAGTTTGTCTCTCCTCATTACCCCGCTCGCCATGAAGTATGGTCCAATCGTCCTGTCCTAGCAATCGCTTAGAGAGACACATTTTCAACGACATTTTTGACTGCACAACCCTTCATCATCAATACCACCATCAATTCATCCTCTATTTCGGCAAACAATGTCTCTCGAAAAGTCTGCTTTAGAAAATAAAGTTTTCAGGCATCTAACTCGCGATCAATGTATTGAAATAAGAGCATTAAGAAGACTTGGCTTTATATTACAACATATATTCGACGAACTTGGTTTCACAAGAAGCCAAGTGCAATTAGCGTGTGCTCGAGAGACTGCGAATCCTAAACCTCGCAAAGGACGCCCGCCTATCTTAAGCGCGGAACAAGTTGATGAGCTTGAGGCTTTCGTCCGGGAATCTGCTGAAAATCGACAAAAGTACTATTAGGAACTAGCGATGGGACCCTTCAGCCACTGGGGATGCAGTGAGCGTTTAATTTCAAATGCCCTCAGTAAAATAGGTTACAGTAGATGCATTGCCCGGAAGGAGCCTCCGTTAAGTGAGGTGAACATGCACGAAAGATGTATAGCGGCGATAAAGGAAAATGGAGGGTACGCAAAGTATTGGCATGGAGCAGAATAATGCAAAGCATGTAGAACGGTTTCATTTTAGTTGCAAGCCATACTGAGGGCTTCGATGTATACTTTTGCAATACAGAGCAGTTATTATTGAAATAGATGTGTATCTCTAGATAATATCAATTGATTTTCTTAATTTTCAATTTTAAATGAGGACTATTGTACTTTTCATTTAGAGTTGAAAACCGTCCCCATAATTTAGACTTTCATGGAATATCATTGGATAGTACCCCTTGCTTGCACAACTAGTTGAGTAACTAGACATGGGCCTGCATGAAGACCATACCAATTAAGGCAAGATGTATAGGGATCTAACCCCAGTCATTTTGACAATTGTACTGTTACACCCCATAAGAGACTGTAGTAAAGGGCTGATGACCGCAAATGTCTGTAACTCCTGATTTTAACAAGACTACGAATCGTTCGAATGCGCGCGAGGTTGGTCCAGTACTAACGGCTCGAGGTAGTCCTGTTCATTGGTCAGTTGGCATGAGTCAGGTCCCCTTTTAGCTATTCGAAAAGTGCCCGCATATTCGCTTCATGTAGTCCCTCTTCCAGTTAACTGATTTGAAAATCTAGTCGAGGCATAAACTCCTGACTCAGTGAGGTTTCTAGCCGATATAGTCTTATAAACTCCGATGTGGATGATAATTGTTGTAAGAATGAATCTGATATGGTGTGAAAATCAATAAGGTTTCACCCTAGTGATGAGCAGGGTCTCATGGATGCAGCGTCGATCTACGAATATGACCGAGAGAAAGGGTAAGGCTCCTAGAAAGACCATACCCAGGGCAGCCACGTCAATTTCAAGTAATATTTTTTCTGGCGCGCCCAGATGACTATGTCAAACAACTTGATAGCTGACTCTAAGATCTGTATTGGCTATCAAGGAGCCCGTGACCACATCTCGCTACACAATGCCTTGCGGCTCTGCCTGGATCGAGCGCATATTTGCGGCGGGCTCTATCAAAATCAGCCCGGACCCGCCTCTGGCCAAGAAATTTTCAAGAGCTACCTCCTCCGCTTCGCCGTGTCGGAGTGATTTCAGGAGATGCGTCGCATGAGACATCGCTGCTAGACTAGCGGTGAAAGAGGTGATATGAATACATAGGCCAACCTACTGACAATTTATGGACATAACACGGACGTAGACTTGACGTGCTCAGGACCCAGATCTCGTGCGAATGGTGGGTCACCCTATGAAACTTCTTCAACCCGTTGAACATCTTCGGTAGAATGCCTAGTCACGTTTACCGACTGCACCTAGCTCGAGATGTGAAAAGGCAATGACACTTGCCCTGGCTTGAATAGTTATGGTCACTCTTGAGTGCAGGACGGGTGCCCCCGGAACCCAAGAGACTTCTCCCATGCGTCTCTGTTGGGGGGTTGGTGTCAGGCTGCATGCCAGCAGTTGGTCGCAGTTTGTGGTACAAAAGGCGTGGCTGGCTACTGCGTCGTCCCTGAGCGTTGTAGGCTCCTTCAATTGAAGATCGGCTGGGCAGGCTAATTCGTCGAGAGATGTACATTAGAACAAGCCAATGCTGCTGGGAGAATAAATTTATTTGATGAACCAGCCCCGGACACGAAGTGTTGAGGCTAGCCATTGATCTGTATTTTCTTGTTCTGATCTACCGTGGTCTAAGACCAGCAGCCTAGGTCATGCATGTGAATCGCGCACGGTGTTCCGTGTAGGTCGCATTAAATCTGTAACCCGAGTCCACGGAATGCAAGGGTGTGAAGCTGGTATCGATGGTAATTTCTGCTGCATCTAGAGTTGTAATCTCCCCTTTCACCATCAACCATCCTGACATCGCTTTCGGCATAGACCGAAATATGAGTTGTTTGTGTTCAGAGGCTGACAAATTAAAATGGCATTCAGTCAAAGTATAGCCAGAGGTCATGAGGCAAAATATCAAACTAATAATACTTGGATTATTATTCGAAATGGAATCGGGATTGATTATCAATACAGATAGATAATTCAAGATTACTTAATTACTAGCAGTTTGTTTCACTCATGATTTCGGCTATCGGATAACCGGGATGTGTCGCTTAAAAATTGCCCGACTCCTCTGCACTGCACAAGCAAGGATTCGCATGAGCGGCAAGTGCAGAAGCCATAACCACTAACAAAGGCCACTACCATGTGTTCAATGGGTTGGATTCTGACAAAATGAAACCCCCAAATCAAACTATTTCGCAGAACTACTCAGTGTATAAGTCTCATTTCAGAGTAGGAGTGAACTATTTATCGCAGAGAGCAGAGAGCCATAAGATCAAGTGTGTCTTAATTTGTACCAGCTCTACATGAAGTCAGGTAGTTTAGACCGTAAGATAGCACAAGTGTAAATAGATTATTTGCTACCATCTCCTTTTACCATAGCCTCCAGAGCCAATGTACGAGACGCATCAAAGAGATACAAGCTGCGACTACAAAACAGTACTGTAAACGCCCAACCCAAACCAATTTGTAGTAAAGATAACTGTCCCATTTTACTGTAACTAATAGCTCTTTACCCTGTACCGTGTTGAAAAAACCAAACCCGATAACTGCCCTGAGTCCCTGTCATGTCCTCTATTACATCATCATCTTGCAGCTGGTATGCATTTATTTGAGAAAAAATCGTGCTGGCTGCAAAGCACGCCACTATCATCTCCTGTTTCGAACCACTATCGGTCCATTTTAACACAAACTTTTTTCAGGCCTTCGACTTACTCAGGCTTTTGATTTATTTTGTTCCAGCTCTTCACATTAGCACTGTGAGAATACTACAGCTTTGAAGTCCGAAGCAAAGCGTGTAATAACATACATAGTTATTCAAGTTACATCGTGTTTTGGTCGAAGCAATTAGCCCTTTTTCATTATTTAATTGTAGTCCCTTATTAAAGTCCAATTTTTTTTGGAGTAGCAAGGCATATAGCGTAAATTGAGCATGAAAACTTAGCCTGACTACATTTTGGCAAGTCACAATCTCATTATTGCTCAATAGTCTTGGTATTCAAGACGTATTGGCAAGATATTTATTAATCGTTATGTATAATCAGTAGATGTGTGATGTAGCGATCTATTGACCTCGAATTGCTGTTGCGGCATGAGCGTCGAGGAAGGGAAAGCTATCATGAAAATTTTGGTACATCGGAAACATACCCGAAACGAATCCCGTCGTGGAGCCAGGTGAGGGAGAGCGACTTCTTCTCGCGCCAACGTTCTGAGAGGTTAGATGATGTTGGATATCATTCCCACCGGGTGAGTTGGAAGTCGGAATATTCGTAGACCCATAGTCATAAGCACCATTGTTTCTACTGCTAAATGCACTGGTATGCACATTATCATCCTTAAGTTGCGGTGTACCTTTTGTTGATCCAAACTGTGATTGAAGTTAGCCGCCGTAGGTGATAACTCGGTAGTGTTACTTGGTACATACGAAGCAATACTTATCAAGTAACTCATTGTAGGATTGCGATGAAAGACAAGGCTTTTCAGCCCCATTGCGTCGAGCCATATTGTAGCTGGCACTTAAGGTTTTATCAGGGCCATCTGATTGTACAGGCACCTGGGGCTCATCACTAAGTGGAGAAACTGATTCATCCCATGTTGCCTTCTTTGGGATGTATCCGTCACACCGATCTCGTCCCGACAGATTTGCAGACTTGATTGCAGCTGTCAGCGATGCACCAAAGTCATAACGATTTCCAAAAACATTTCCATTAGTTTGACCATGGCGCCGTCCATGACCTTCCAACGACCGACTAATTGTTCCTTCGTCATCGTTCCGGTCGAGAGCAGTTGCCTCACCTAAGTAATCACGTACGGTATTTTTAAAGTCGGAGAGTGCATATTTGTCGCTAAATCCGTCTGAAAAATCATCAAATGCCATTGGTATAGACCTAGGACGTAATGCTGGGGATCGATGACTACTTCGAGGGAGAGATTGCCTACTCGACTTGGCCGAGTCTTGCCATCGCTTGGCTCCTTTTCCTGATATCTTCTTCTTTCGGAAATCAACCTGGAAGTTGGTTGAGTCGTTGTTATCCCAATATTCTACGCCATTCACACAGTACTTGACGCAGAAAAACATAGTTTTGGCTTCTAAGTTTGCTTGATCGGTCAGTTTTATGTTAAAATGAAAGCGGTCATATCCATCTTGAGCGGGCTGTCGTAAATCCTGATTAAATTCTGCGACTACTTCTGATGTTGTCTTCCAGTAATCAAGTGTAAACCGGACGACGACTAGTTTATTGAAAGCCAAATTTGCCACGGCTACCATGCCAACCAGAGTTTTGTTGTCAGACGATAGAAACACACGCTCGACCCTAACTGCTTGCGCAAGGCGAAGGGATGTCTCTGGTGGGAAGTTTGCCACAACTATCTCCCACTCATATATGGAGTCACGCCTTTCATCCTCACCAAACGGAAATTCGTTATCACTGTCATATGCAGGCACAGGAGACGATCCAGCGCTCACAGCAAGTGGACGATCAACCTGCAAAAAGTGCCTAATATGCTCCAACTGAGAATCAAAATGTACGGCCTTGGAGAATGTTGGTGTGCCTGGCATACTTGAAGGTCGTCGCCGCGCAGAGGAGGGACGGAGGGCGGGTCGCACTAATTCCCCAGACTTTTTCCTCACCATTGGTGGCTTGCAAACTGAGAGCAAATCTTCATCATCGGACAAATTTTCATCATCCGAGCCTGTCAATAGCTTTTCTGAAACAGTAGGCGGTGCTGAAAGATTAAAAATTACGCCTTCTGTCTTAGCTCGATAGTGTGCTAGCCTACGTGGTGCAGATATATTCATATCATCGCTAGACTTTTCAATTTTTTTGAGCTCTGCAGGTGCTAGAAGGATAACGGCTTGATCAGTTTTATTGCTGTCTAGTGGAAGCTGCGTGTGTGGTTCGCTCCTGTGCTGTTCAAGATCATGAATAGCTGCCTTTAACTCCACCAAATTCTCTAATCGAAGATAGCGATTATTTAAATTCCGAGATTCATCATCACTTGAGTTGTTGGATGATTCCGGCGGTGAAATTACAGCTCCTGTTGGTATGAGTCGTTCCTGAGTAATAGGAGGAGGTGACTGCCGTAAACCAGATTTCAAGCCACGACACTCTCCCGCCCACTCGGGTGGTGGTTCTAAAAACTTCAGGCCCCGTACTGGTGCCTTGAGCGAAGCCGACCGCCGATGATGGCTGAGATATGAAGCCGACCGAGGCAGCTCAGATTTAGGCGAAGTGAAAGATCCAGTTTGAAATGAGGGTCGTCGACTATCATTCGGTGATTGTGATGCTGATGTAGCAGGCGAGCGAGACGAGGGGGATGTGTAAGGCATGTCCTTTTTTTTTATGGATAATTAATTTTTATTGGCGGTAATTATCTGCCCAGCAGGGAGAAGAGTTTACACAAATCTCCTCTCTAGCATCGAATATAACTGCGTACCAATTACTTTGATATTTGTTAGTCACGAATTCAAGGTTTTAGAGTTGAAGTTGGAAAAGGGCGTGGTAAACTTACGAGAAGTGGCTCTCGGCCTAGAATATGAGAGGGGTGAGAGTGAGGCGTGAAGATGCGTATGGGTACCAGAATTGAACGGGAGTTTGTGTGGGAGAGGAGTGAGATGATTTTTACGGTGCAGGATGAAGCAGTCCGAACAAGGGATGATATAGATATTAGACTTTTCGGTAGGCGGTATAGGAGTTGGACGAGGAAGAAGCGAGAACTGATATTGGATAGGAATATATGCGAGGGAAGTGGGTTTCTACAATTTCTGGGGTAGAGTGGATTGAAGGTAAGTGTGATGGATGTGGAAGATGGAGGGGAGGGGGGGCCCGTCGATTTTGAATTGAGTTGGACGACGGTTGAGGGGCAGGAGCGTGGACCGTGCTAGGAAGGGAGGTTAAACTGGGGGTGAAGGGATTGCGGGGGAGCTTAAATGGCTGCCAAGGCTCAGCGAAAATCCAGGATATCTTGACTCGTTTCACGCCCCGTCGTCGTAGGAGCTTCGGTCGCTACATCTAGACATCTTTCGGGGGGAGGGGGGAGAGATAGAGAGACATGGGCTATTCCCCCTAACCCCCCAATTAGTCCTCTAGTTTTGTCATGCTCATGCCACACACGCCGCCGCAATAACCTCTGCCCTCTATACCAGAATTGTCATGGTTGTGACTATTTTTAATGGCACATTTAGCGAGCTTGCGAGTATTTTCTTCAATGGCGTCCCTATCCCTCTTTCGTGGTGGAGGCGAGCTGCAGATCGCTTGACGAAGACGACGAACAGACCATAACATACCGGAAACCCTAAAACATTTCGTCGCAAATCGCATATCGCCATGATGTCGAGTGGGACTAGATCTAGACTCCCTCCGGCCCGCCCGCCACTCTACGTTCAATAGGACTAGCAGTTTAATGTGGAATAGAGTGAAAAGATACAGAGGAGATAGCAGGCAAAGTGCGAGGGACAAATGCGAGCCAGCTTGGCAGCACAAGACGAATGGACGCAAGAGATAAATCGACAAGTATTTATTGGGCATTACGCACTACGCATCATCATCACCGTCATCATCATCACGTATAACCCAAGCCTAGAGCGATTGTGAGGCCTTAGTCGTGGGCTAATTGAGTTGAAGTTGAAATGTTCTCTTGTAAACTCGAGCGAGCACCTGTCATAGCCGCGAAGACACAACCTACAAATGGAACTTTCTCCACTGCAGCGTTGCCCTCATTGCCGCATGTGGTCTGTTCTCTCTCGTACCGTACGAAGCCCAACTGAACTGTTCTAGGTGCCGAACTTACGACAGGAATTGTCGGTATCCCTCGAGCAAGGGTTTTGCCACCTTGCGATAAATCAAGCTGATTGTTGACCAATGCCAAAGTTCAAGGCAAGCAAAGAAAATCAAGCCTATTGTCCTTCCCCCTTGACGACTCGCACCCACAGTCTTAGCCACAGACTAAGATGAACATTCAGGGTATAAATCGTTCCTTGGAATAGGAGGACCACTGGGAGAATTGCTCGTTGGTCGTCAGTTGGATCATCGCCAAAGTGGGAAGTCGGGGGCGAGATGGATAAATAGAGCTTAGAGTCCTGGGAACGACAAGTGAAGCAGGGAGGGCGCTTCTCGTGTGGATAGGATAATTCAGAGGGCGTGAGTGGGAGCGCGCACATGCGGGAAACACCGGATATGAGGGTCCGAGAGGTAAAGAAACGGAGGTGGACTGAGAATCCGAAGAGAGAGGCGGAACCAGGGGTCTCAGTTGCGTGAGTGTGGATGGCTACCCTGCACGTGCATTTTCCTTTACCTTTTTTGGTAACGATGAATCTCCTGCTCGGATAGAATAGGAGCCGCATAATTTATCCGTCACTGATAACAGATGATGGAGATAATCTGAGGTTACTCTAATCCTTGTCTACCCATCGGCTGTTTATGTGACCATGTTAATTTGGCTGTTCATTCCACTTCTCACGTCACGCAATCCAAACATTCATCTATTCCATATACCACCTTTGTCTATCATCTCGGTCTTCAGAAAAATTCATCAGCAGTATTCAAAGCTACTATTTTTACCCTCTTCCAGCCTATGCATCTTCCTCATGCTTTTCGACCCTACCTGCATTACATATCTTGACGAGGTCTCCGCTCATACCGGTAAACCCCGACCCCGAAAAGGGGGAATATTATGGAAAAGAAATAATTGTAACGGGTAGCGGTCGATCGACTTCAGCAAGTTGAAACATCTTCAAGTCTTTTCTTGCTAAATTCTCTACGGCATTTTTCGGATACCGGAGTGAAATCGGATGGCGGAACTAGAATTTGACGTCTTTCAATCGCAATGCTTACCTACATTTATTTGCACGGGCCCTTTAACTGAGTGCTAGCTCGGTTACGAAGTAGACATGGAGACAAATTTCAGTTATCGCATACCTTTTTGAAGTAAAAATTATATAACTCAGCGTTTGATAGCAGCAGTAACAACCTAGAAATTCGATAGTCTGTCAATTTGTCTGAAGCTGCTTCATTCCCTACATCCGCCTGCCGAAAATGATAATGGCAGTGCCATCGATCACAGCCCCTGGACTTTTGGCTTATCTGATCCGCATTTGATGTCGATCTTTTAATCGCTCGTATCTTGAGGGGAGAGCCCGGAACTCGGAGTATAAGAGTGCGTCTATAACGCGGTTCCTGACAAATCACTCACTAGTCAACGTCGCCCTATCAATCACGATCTGCACATGGACAAGGCAAAAAAGGTCCGATGCAAAAGAGGCGAAGCGGTAGACAGAGAAAATATAGGTTTGCGCTGACGTGCTTGGTACTTGATGTTCACATGAGAAACTATAGATATCAAGATAAGATCAGCTATCGCTTAATACCGGAGCTGGGAATGACTTGTCACGTAAGATATCGTGAGAGGGCAGATAATAAGCGCACGATGTTCCGTTGCGACATGCACTTGAATATTTTAATTACTCTGTTTACCCGAATGTAAGGATAATCAGCGGAGCAACGCGTGTGCTGAGCCAATTGATGCCCGGGTTTCTGTTCGAGGGTGAGATCCAACTCGCATCGTATCAACAGCACCGCGGTAGAGATGTTACCATGCCAGCATTAAAATGTGAATGTCATGTTACAATTTTTTGTACAGAGATATGAGTGCATGCATGATGTGTATGTGGGCAAGTGTAATGAAGAATTATCAGTAAGCCATTCTGTGCAGCGACTTTCCCCAACGCAAAGCTGCCGGCGATCATAGATTGCAGCTGTAGACGTGCGGGTCCTTTCTCTTCCACGTGCTAGCTGCCCCATCTTGTATCTGGGATTTGGCGGCCAAGATGCGGGGAGCGCTCCACTCTTCGGCCAGGCTCACCACAATCACATGACCTGACATCTTTGTGAGATGTCAGGCGTCCGAGCGCTACAAGGGAGCCAGGCCTCAACTCTTGCGTGCGGGGCCCTCGACCATGCATCAGGTGTACAGAGCCATGGGGGAAGAGTGGCATAGCCTGGTATCAAGATGCCATGAATAGAGAGGGATAGGTGAAGGGTGTCGCACATGCATCTGTAGTGAATGACAGATGCGTCATGGACGAGAAGATTGGGTCTGTGCTGGCGTCTACCTTTCCCTACGGAATGAGGATAGAGAGAGTCGACTGTGGTGGGCTTGGAGCAGCAGAGGGTCGGTGTGCAGAGCTGCGCAAGCGTCTCACCGTCGTCCCTTGTCGCTCGAGCCAGACGAGGAAAGATGACGGCGGAATATAGCAGTGGCAGGGGTCCTGTTCGGCTCGGGGCCAAATGTTGCTGCCCAACCGAGGGCAAGAAGCGGCGTCGGACTTGGAAGGATGGGGTGTGCACTAGGGCGCAGGGCTACTGAAAATTATTCGCGTCGGGACGTCGGTAAGCTAGCCACTGGTGATGCCGTCCGTGCTGCCGGGTCACCAGACGTGCCGTCCCGTCCCAGCACTCGCTTAGTCACGGCTCGAATGTGAGAAGAGAGGAACGGAGCCGGTAGACAGAACCTCGTGCACGGGCGTAATCACAAGGACCCTCGTAGGTTTGAGAGGGCGGCGCATGAATTCTCTTGCGACAATTGAGACTGTGACCTGAAACTACTCGCTTGGGATATGGACTGGAAGTTCATGGCTTGGTGCAAGCCTCGTGCTGGCAACGAGCAGCGAGCAAAATACCATCGGCGGCCCGGAACCATGGAGTAGAGGAAAAAGGCATATGCCTGACCGAGAGCCAACGGCGTCTAATCTCATGCTCAATGTCTACATCTCTCCTCTCCCCCCCATCTCAAACGCATGAAATTAGGTATCCCAAGTTAGATAGCAAGTGTCAAATCCCTAGGAAATTCCAATGTCTCACGAGACGCACCGCGTGAGGAGCAAGGGAATGTGACCATCAGCAACCATTTGGATGCTACGAGGGCGAGACAGTATTTTTAGCGTCTGCTCCAAACCTCGGTGACCCTGCTACACTTAATCTCGGGAATTTAGGTGCGAGAGAGAAGTATCTTGGAAGAGCGGAAATATAGCGGGTGCCTTTTGATCTCTCTCAATCGGCTGTCGCACTGACCTAGACGCATGCCTCCACGAGTCTGCTAATTCCTTGGACTGGCGATTGAATGTCGATATTTTGGGGGCTGCCAGCCTAGCGGCGGTAGAGGCGAGAGTTTGGTCGGCTTGGCTGATGGTTATTCGCTGGTGGTAGGAAACAAGAGGCCATGGGTAGAGGTCGTGCTGTGCGTCGCATTTGTTCCAAAGAAAAATTTGAGATGTGAGGAGACACTGCTATGCATGCATGCATTTATGTTGCCATTTATCGCACGAAGATAAGCGCTACCCACGCAGTACACAAGCAGACTGCAACAGAAGAAATTCAGGACGGATCTCGACGGCAGTGGAGTCAGCGTTATAGCTAGATTCGCCGAGATTCGCTAATCTAATGATAGAGGATAAGCTTCGTAATATTGCTGCATAACTAATTCTGTGCCAAATGAATAAAACGTGCATAACAATGACCTCTCAACATTATATTGCAATCACCGACGATCAAGATTTCTCCTCATCATGCTACTACCTCAACACTCCCCTACTAAGTCATGAATCATAACTCCCAGTCAATTTACGCTGTTGGATATTCCTCGACACATCACAAGCCTAGAAGCTATAAAAACGCCATTGGATATATATCTGGCCACCAGGAACCAATTGGTTGATGGAGAATTCACACAAATACCATAGAATCCCATAGGTACTTCGAGCACAAGGCTTGGTACATGAAATAAGGGAAAGAGACAGCGCCATCAATGAAATTTGTCGCGACGAAAAGGCGTAGCTAGTTTCAGGTTAGATGGCCACCGTTATGAATCATTCTGAACCAGCAAGTGTCGGAGACTGGCAATTATAGTACCCCTACACTATTGAATCAATACAGTCAATACAGACAGTATATAGTATCCATATATGTATTCCATGTGCCATCAAGTCACTGTTGAAATACAGACGCTTTTTATCGCCAACCGGTCATCACCATCCCATTCTTTCATTTCGAATCGCCACATGTCTCATTAATAATTTTTGGCATTTATCGTGCCCTATTCTTCTTTTTCTTCGATTTTTCAGCTAGCCTGACGCCACACTATGCCATCTATAAATCAAATATATCCATTTTTAGCCTTCGCCTTCTGAGCTGCGCTCTTTCTTTCCCATCGCCAGTTATGTCGAGTTCAGTGCTACTCTGCTTCCGGAAGCCTAGTCTCCAGTCATCTTCGATATCCGGCTCTATTAGGCCACAACTTGACTCTGAAAAACGTGAAAATGAATTCATCTATGCACAATCCCCCTTGAACTTGCTCCCAGATCCCAGCCGGCACCATGAGCTTACAGGAACCCGAGTGAGGCGCGACCTCGTCACGCCCCCAGCGTCACTATGGAATCGTAACCCACAAGCCCAACTCCCATCGGAGCCCGGAGAAGTCGAAAGCCGTGTGAGTCAAGCCGTGCAAGAATGCTCGGCGCAAGCCTCGCTCTCCCTTGAATCTGCTCTAAAGAGCATGTCAAGCGCTATTGCAAGCGCCAATCTGGCCAGCTCCGATGCACAACAGTCTGCGGAACAGGCAATTTCCCTCGCAAATGTGTCAGCAAGTCGAGCCATATCGAGTGCAATGGCCACACAGGTGGGTGATAAAGTCAAAGCTCCCTCTTTTGATACTCGCTGATTGCTTGTCTCTCAACCTAGACAACTCTACAGACTGAGGCTACTGTGGGCTCGGCTACAGAGTCTATAGCATCAGGTGGAACTAGCCCATCGATGTTGCCAACATCAACCTCTAATCAAATCCAGTAGGTTCTGACCCAAACCGAGAAATAAAGGGAAGATAAAGAGAAAGAAGCTAAATCCCCTCCAGAACCAATTGTCCATCGGCTCAAGCGACAAATGTAATCAGAATGACTGGTCCACAACTAGCTCTGGCCATCATAGGTACTATCATCTTCTCGAGCCTAGTGACTTTCCTACTTTTCTTCTTCTTCCGACGCCATCGGAGGCAGATGAAAAACCATGCACGTGACTTCCAGCAAAACTCACCTGAAGCTCAGCTCCGTGCCGCAGGAACCCGAAATATCGGTAGTGAAATAGACAAGGGAGGTAAGATTCTACTACGGGACGAGCAAGGTATGCAACTAGTGAAGAAGCCCACGCTCGTTGACGTATCCTTGAACCGAAGAGGTGAGGAGTCTAGGAGCCTGAAAAAGACCGTAGTTCAATGGGATCCATCAAAGGGACCCACGGTCCTACCTATCAAGCCCTTCTCAGAATTATTACCGACTATTCCCGCGGCTCTAGATACAACAGGTGTGCTGATGACCGATGAGACAGAGAAGTGTCTTACACCTGGGGAACAAGCAACACCAATTCCTCTCAGTAAGTGTTACGAGGAAGACTTGGAAGATGCAGCTGAGTCACCCGTAGCCTTTTTATCGCCATCCCCTCACGTAACTGAAGAGAGTAAACAAATTCCGGCCCCACAGGCAAGCTTCCATAGCTTGCCCACGACAGAGCAGCCGGTTCGGAATACCGCCGAGTGGCTCGTTGCCCGTGATGAAAACCTTGGAGAATGCTTGGCGCCAGATGTCGATTCCAGCCAGATTTGCACTGTCACTGATAAGCCCCTTCCACCCAGTAAGCCGGATAATCAGGAATATTCACATAGTATCAATACCTCATGTGTAGGACTGGCCTTTTAATGACTATCTTCCTAGTCTTATCATTACCTTGATAGTCTCGGCTTTTCTTGGCTAAATGATTGGGGATTAAACGAGTCATTCATATAGACACTTTTGGATAGGGTAACCTATACTTAAAAAGAAAAGTTAGAGGATCTTGTAGACAAAGTGAGATTCACGGCAGGGTATCTTCCTCTCAAACTTGGGTAGTAGGGGTTTAAATTATGCTTTATCTCTTATGTCTCAACATTGACATACCCTGATGCAACCTGACTCGAATTGCTGACAGAAATTTACCACAGCTTTGTATGTGGCGAAGACTTTATCTTGTTCTGGTTATCACTTGGGAAAGCTGGCGCTGAAATTTTGATCAAGCAGCAGGATTTGATTGATGGTACTCGACCCTCAAAGAATTGGGAAGCATTCATTAAAAGTTTGTGCCTTGAGTGGATTGAAAAGCGGTGATCGTGGGCCGATTCTATTTGCTGTGGCTCCCAAGCGCTTCTGAATCAGAAGCCAATGGCTTACAGGCGACTCACATGTGGCCGAAGATCCTTGGACTGAAGAAATTCCCGCTTGCTGCGGACGGAAAGACATTGACTTGTCCCGACAGACTCATGTGCGGCTTCCCATTAAAATCGGAGCCTTGCAGACAAAATAAACTGACTCCCATTCCAAAACAAATCAATTCTGTGGTGCTCTTGGGTGCATACAGGCCAGGACATCACAGGTAACACAGTTGTGTCAAGACATGGCTATGGTGAAAACCTGTCGAGCTCACAATATTCAGACTAAAGCAGGTGACCAAATCTCCCGTATAATTTGCGTCAATGGCATTTAACCTGGACCCAGCCTGTAGGTCTGCCCAATTACCCCTTCTAAATCTAGACTGGCCCTTAATAGAAACGCGCAGGTATTGGTTGAGTTTTGCTTGCGAAATCTCAAGGGACACTTTACACGACACTAAAGAACCTCTGTCAAGAAAATATAACCACCTTACTAAGTTAGCTCAGAATCACAAAGGTGGATTCTCTTGGCTGGCAGTGCGCTCGCTGCTCATTCTTCGACAGTCTACGCGGAACTAGCTATTGGCTGAAGTCGATCTATATTCAAATCATGAGAACTATCAAAAACCTATGTCTAGCGCCTTCTTAAGACTGCTCGAAGTATAAAGCATGTAGAACATGGGAGCTAGTGAGATTCGCACCCTCAAAACAACAGATTCAATGTTGGCTGAAACGCTAGCTCAGAAAGTGTGCTGTGAAGCAATAATTGAATGCAAAAACTGGCGACCAGTCGTAAACTGATGTAAATCTGACGAATTCATTCAGTCTTCATTCAACCTAATTTTTATAATGAAATACACGGTCGTATCTATCTGCTCATAGCCTAGAAATTTATACGATCACGAGTTTCTTGACCCAATGCATCAGTATTAGACTTGAGAAGAGAAACCTGGTAGCATGCATAGGAATTTGGGGACAATGAGCGACTAGATATCCTAAGAGGCAATATGGTGCCACTGGTATAACTGCAGCGTATGAATTAGGCGTTTGAAAAGATGACGAAATTTGTAACTGGTGCAGATTAGGCAAGGGCTGTCATTTATGATAAATTGCCTGCACGACCTGCTTCAGCCACCATTCGTGTATGCGTGCATCTCCCGTTAACTCGGGGTGAAAGCTCGTAGCAAAGATGTTTGCTTGTTGGACAGCAATAATGTCACCATTTTCTGAGATGTAAGGCGGCGTTGTCGGCTCCAGACTGATGCCTGCCTCGCGTCTAGGCAGCACGGCGAGAATGCGCACGGGATTTTCTGGCGGCGCTTCACTCGCGTGTAGATGCGGGTCAGTCGGAATCGGCAGGACTTTCTCTACAATTGGGGCGCGGATGAAGATGGCCCGAAAAGGAGCAGTTGTGGCAGGCGCTGCTTCCGTCGAGGCGTCGGGCGGGCTGTTAGCGGCGAGAAAGGGAAGATGCAGATCTGCTTCGAAACTCTCCGTCTGGCGCCCAAAGTGGTTCCGCGCGGCTTGGACATGCAGGCCCCCAATGAGATCTTGACCTCCTTCCCTCGACCTCACGACGGCGTCGGCGAGGAGAATCAAGCCGGCACAGGTTCCCCAGGTAGGCTTCTGAGCAATCCTGTGCAGCGCGGCGCGCGCTCTAGTTAGCTGAGGTTCGGGAAGATGGATTTGGCTAAGATGGGGAGGGTCACTCACTTGACGAAATGGCGCAGCGGCTCAAGCAGGCCAGAGCGCTGTGCGACCAGCGCCATGGTCGTACTCTCTCCACCCGGCAAGATGAGGGCATCGCAGGCCGCCAGGTCGGGCTCGGTACGGACTTCACGAAAGGTCCAGGAGCATGGTGTGGTCAGATTGCGCGCGGCTTGTCGCAGCAGTGTAAAGTGTTCGCTGAAGGCCCCCTGTAAGGCGAGGACGCCTACGGTAAGGATACGAGGGGTAGCTTCGGAATCCATGAGTTGAGCACACGGTATCAGGGACAAGAAGGAGGTTGGAGGCTGTGAAGTTGTAGTTCCATCATGAGCTGCTAGGGTCGGACGGATGGGCGCTCGGCTGAGGGTGAGCGACTTTTGCCTAGGCCCGACGGCAGCCGGTGGAGGAGAGAGGTTGACCGCTTGAGCTCGCCCACATTAGTCATCGCTCCGTCAACTCTCGATGGAAAGAGCTTGGCAGTCGTCGACAGTGATTGGAGAATAAATTAGGGTGGCGAGCAATGCCGATTTTGAGGTGTCGAGCGACCGAAAAGCCACCAGAGGTGGGCTCGAGCCTCGAGACGCCAGCCTCGCGGGCAGAAAGGCCAGTTTGGGCGACAGGTGGATGCGGTGAAGGAAAAAACTGCTGGGCAGCCCATGGGAGAAGTTGGTGTTAACCGCACGTCCGACCACAGATCCCACGGTCCTCTCAAATATGTCGAGTCTTCTTGCTCAGCTTGGCCTCGGCCTCGTCATCTACGTGGTTCTTACACTCTTTCTCTATACGCTCTCGCTCCTCATCCCAGTCGCTGGCTTCGGGGCGCGCCTGCTCGCAGCGTATGCCTCTCTCTTAGTATGCGCCTCGGCCGGTGTGGTTTCCTCCGCCTGCCTTCACATTGTCGGTTACCCGCGCATCTCGCAGTGGTTCGTCGCGCGCTGCTTTAAGCATCTTATGCGGTACACGACAGGCCTGACCTTTATCGTCGATGATCCGCAAGACTACCTGAATCAGACACGGCCAGCCATATTCATCGGTAACCACCAGACGGAGCTTGACGTACTGATGCTCGCCTGCATCTTTCCCAAGTGGTGCTCGGTGACGGCGAAGCGCTCGCTTCTCAAGGTTCCTTTCCTCGGCTGGTTCATGCGTCTCTCCGGCACCGTCTTCATAGATCGCACCAACCCACTTAATGCGCGTCAGGCCATGGCCGGCGCCGCCACGGAGATCCAGCGCCATCGTCAGAGTGTCTACATGTTCCCCGAGGGCACGCGGAGCTATGCCCGCGATCCCATCCTCTTGCCATTCAAGAAGGGCGCCTTCCATCTCGCTGTCCAGGCCCAAGTACCTCTCGTGCCAGTTGTCGTAGCCAATTATTCGCACCTCCTCGATCCGAGCGCTCTTATCTTTCGTGCCGGCCGGATACCCATTAAAGGTAGCGCCCCACTGTTCTCGACCTTATCTCTGCTGCCTTCTGACCTAGTCTAGTCCTACCTCCAATCGAGACCAAAAACCTCACCACAGCTGATGTAGACGCGCTTACGCGTCAGACTCATGAACTAATGCGCATCGAGCTCGAATCTTTGACTTGCAAAGCACGAGGTCTTCCCATTCCAATGTCGTCTCCTCAAAGTGACGACAGAGAACTCGTCATGGCCATCAGTGGAACAAACGCGACCCGGTAAAGTAGTGTATCCTTGGGCCTCTCGAACTTCCCGCGGCTCAGCGAGAGTGGGGCCAGCCGGCACATGCATCTACTCTAGTGTCGATCATTCTACGCCTAACGTAGAATGATTTCCACGACGGTGCTTGAGAAATTGCTCTATCTCGCCACGCGGCGCATGAGCTTGCCTCGTGAAGGGGGCCAGGGCGTTTTTGGGCTCTAGAAGGGAAATAGCTTGAAATTAAGATTATTGTGACCTGCTGTCATCTATCAATTATGAGGCAATGTAGATTTCCATTTCTAGTTAATATTTTATTCTACAATACCTTGCCCCACACCATGCCTTGACGTCGAGAGAGTCAACGCATGCTTACATTCCGTCAAATTGCCATCAAACTATCCACTCGCGTTACTTCCAGACCACATATCCTGGGGTTTCAGTGGTCACGGCCATCCCAGTATCTAGCAGTATTTGTTAGGTGGGGAGCAGTGGAGGTCGCCTGCCCTGCGCAGATAGGACTCCACTTTCATATTTTTTTGGCATGGGCCGTGCGTAAGGGCCTCGTCTGCGAAATAAACTCAGACCAAGCAACTCCTCTATTCGCAATCAAAGGCCCAGATCACGAGCGATATCTGCTTCCTCACACTTTACAGGGGCACCACTTGAACCTAGTGACAAGCGCGCCTCTGGGGACTCGAGATTTCCCGTCAAGCTGTTATTGGTCGCGAACACAACGTACGTCGTCGCGAGTTGAGATGCATGTGTCTAACTTACCGTTGTTGCCTGTCCATGCGCTTGCAGATTGAGTGCGATGTTGAGAATAGTGACGAGGACACGCGCGTTATTGAAGGGTTTCCGAGAGGTGTGGCAAGATGCTGTGGTGAGCTATGGGCCGGGGAACTCTCTTCACGTTTCTGGCTCCAGGACGATACCATTAGCTCAAGTTTGTAGATAAGAGAGGTTATGGTTTGTCGGAATTTCAGTCATTTAATATGCTCTCGTCTACCCATCTGTGACACATGACTAAAGTTTTGTGTACATGGCAAATGATCCTCCTCATCCTAGAAATACTCGCACTTTACACTTCAGTTGCAGATAGACCTCTGCATTCGACTGTTTGCACTGCCAACCCCGGTCTATGGTTATCCGCCAAAGGGCATTATTAAAAGCATGGCTGATCTAAGCACCTCTCCATCATCCTGCATATAAGAATCAGGAGAAAAGTCGTCAGGCTCACAGTCTCCAATCTCAAATAGAATAGATACCTAGTCCATCATGACTTTTCTTGGTAGACCCGGCCAAGCAGTGTCCCACTGCACCATCCAGGCCTCATGTCTAGACGTATGAATTGCGTCGCCTGCGCTGTTGTAGCCAAAGTTGTGGTGCAGGAAATGCTCTCCAAACTCACACGCTCCTACCCCAAATCGAGCTTTCACTCCCTTTGAGATGTTTCCAGGCCTAGCTCAACCCTGTCCATATACTCATTTATCTCTTGCATCTATTCCAAAGACCGACCTTGCTAGATTTTAGCGTCGTCATTGGAGTCCCTCTGTGGCTATCGGTGATTTCATGGGCGTAAATTGGCAAGTCAGCTAGGCCCAGTCAGAATCTACAAGGAGGAAAGTCACTGAGAAGCGGATGTAGTATGTCGTACTTACAAATGTGATGGGACTCTGCTTGATATCTGTCCTCGTTCAAAGACTTGATCCCTTACCTCATGAGTCAACGTGGTCTACAAAGCGAAATATGACTGGTACTCGGCTGTGAGAACATATTCTGCTTCCAGGCTTGTGGAGAACACTGCTGACAGGTGTTCAGTCCTCGTCCGTCCCATATTTTTCTGGCCTCCTGGAGAAGATCATGATAGGTGGAACCGCTCTGAAATGACCAGTGCTGCAGTCGTGATTCGGTCGTGCTCTTCGATATACCTGGATGGTCAAACTCGGTGGTCTCTCGAAGCTCATGGCCCATGAGGCGGGTGCTTGTTAGCTTCTGCTTCCGCATTTCCATTCATTGACAAGGGAGATATCTATGACCACACTAGCTACCCGAAGATAGCCGCTGACGCCATTGTATCGGTTGGTCCGTTGAGACTCCCACAAACATCTGCCCTGGAGAACCTACCTACATCCTTGCATAGACGGATAGTCTGGCAACGCCTATCCCATCCACGAGCTACCTGTCGAATGTTTTGGAATTCGGAAAGCAGATATTTTGTCTCAAAGTGCGAAAATGATCCAACCGACATATTTCAACGTCGGAAACTGGTCACAACCACGTAAACAGCAACGTATCGCTGAAGACTCCCACCCACGCCTACTTAACTATGACTCGATGCAATCGGGAAAAAAAGCAAAGTGAGGAAACATCTAATACCGTCCGATATAGTATCTAGTCTCTTTTATGGATATTCATCGGGCTCTTGGCTGCCAGATTTGCGCTTTTTCTTTTTTTAAGCTCATAGGGGTATCCAGCTACCTAGCTATGATAAATTTACATGTGTATTGATTCAGTCCTATAGGCCCCTTGCATGCATCTAATCCTTCAAAAAAAATTCAAAATTCATACTTTGATATTCTATTTTAATTTTCTTTGTAGCTTTGCACCTTGTAACTTAGCGAGAAGGCGGACTACAATGAAGTGTTCCCGCCCATTTTTTGGGAGTGAAATATATGACGCAAAGGTTCAAAGCGCCATGAAAGTCTTAGAGAATGCAATTTCAGGGGATATAGGTTTATCCATCCAGCTTCTCCTTCACAAACCAAACTGTCGTCCCTGCCCTCGGCGACGGGAGGTCTAGCTCTTCAAAGGTTATAACTAACGTGGCCTGACTACGAAAGAAAGACACAAGCTTGTGGATAACAGCTTCATCATTAAAAATAACAAGAAACAGGAAAGAGGCCGATTAGCTGGCCAAATCGCTTTAAAGTGAAACCCATGAAGAATCACTAGCCGCAGTCTCAAATGACGAAGAAAATCCAGTTATCCTCTAAATCACTGGGACCACTATCAAGGCTGTAGATGCGAAAAATCGTAGATACTGTGGTAGAAATATCGGCAAAAGTGACAAGAAGGCTTCTAGCCCTGCATGCGCTCACTAAAACAGGCGCTATCAGTACTGGCGAACCATCATCATCTTACTAAGGCTAAAATGGACCACCTAGATAAACCAGATCATCATGGACAATTCAGACGTGAAATTAAACGTCTAGAAGGCGTGGGTGGCCAGGAGAAAAGAAGATGCTGTGTGTGTTTATTGTACTACTTAAGTCATAGACTATCTAGCACATTGGGCTCCTCTCTGGCCCAGACTACACCTTGTACAGTGCTCCTTGTCTCTCATGTTTCTCGAAAGATTATTGATATATTGCCCTTGATGAATAGCCATTCAGCTTAGTATTTACCCGTGGAATTCAGCCACCTTTTCCACGGAACCTTCCACCAAACAAAAATGGTAGCAATGGAAACTGCGTGCGCGGGAAAAAGTCTCAAAAAACCTGCAGCCCCAGCCAGGCGAGGCCTAGACACCGGGACCACATGAGGAGCGCATAATGATCTATATCTCCCTTTTTCGTAACAGTCGATGGCGACTTGATCCAATCCGCCATCGCCGTATCGGGTGCTGGGTACGCTCCGGAAACTCATGGGATGTCTTTTCCTCCATGATCAAGGGTTGGTGATGAGTAGGGCTCCGACCCTGCCATCTGATCTGATTGTGGTTAGCTTCATGATAATGGTGATAGGGGGCAGTGTTGAGAGATGAAGACGATACAGACTGCGGAAGCGATTGGGAATCCTCGTCGAAGTATGGACTTTGTTACTCAATCTCGGCTCTATGGACTCTACAGTGAGAGCTGGAGGTTCGTAGGTGACACCGCTGACAGGTGTTGAGAAATGACCACCCCGGTCCGCCAAGTAAAGTCTAGATAGCTGGACACATATCCCACAAGCGACACAAGATCGCTGGTTCAGTTGGGGCGAAAAACAATCACATTTCTCACGGCCCCGGTTTGCGTGGATGACGAAGCATGCTTGTATAATCAAAGGTTTTGAATTTCCCTTTGGTGGGTACTTATGGAGGAGGGTCGACTATTTGTGTAAGCGAACATACCTCGTAGTGTTATTTGCGAATGAAATCTAGAGTATGAGTGTCTCCAACGTTAAAAGAGACATCCAACATGCTTACATAACAGCTGTCCTGTTTCTTTGTTTTTTTAATCAATAGGTCCTAAGCTAAAGCTCAATGTCCATTATGGATACAAGACCGCTATAGCCGGCAGGGTTCCCTGTAACTTTTCCTACAGCCTAACTCGTTCCAACCTCGTGAATCGCTACCAAAAGTGCAGCTGATTAAACAGAAACGAAAAATCAAGAAAATCAAAACAACTCCGAATACTAGAAGATTACTCCATATTGGACCCAGTAAATGCGCTCCTGGCACATTCCCTCGTCCGTCACACCTTCCAGATGACAAATTTGCCCATTCTCCGCTGAGAGCAAAAGATGGGTTAGCAGGCACCTTTTATCCAGCCGGTGTCCTGCTAATAGTTAGTAGATGCCCCAAAAGGGGGCATCTTCGAGGTCGCTGTTCCCTCAAGCTTCTTCTTCAGATCCCAGCGCTCTGAAACCTGTTGCCTCGGCCATCGAGACATCCTTCGCCGCGACGACGATCGCGTGTTCGGCCTTTTTGGCTGCAGCCCTAGCGCGAGCCACCTCTGCGTACTTCCCTTGCATGAGGTGACGAATCCACGTGAGCTGGTCTTTGGTGACCGGCCCGGACTTTCTGGGTCTGACTTGGTAGTCCCGGTAATCCGATCGGTGGGGCCCCCCACAGTTGCGACAGTTAGTGAGGGCCTTGCACTCGGCTTCCGAGTGCATGTTTGATCCGCAGTTCCAGCAGGCTGGAGCGTGGGAGCAACCACGAGTGGCGTGGAAGCCCAAACAGCGTTTGCACTGTTAAATTGGTCGACGAGGCTTGTGAAGGATAGCCTTATCAGACTCGTCGAAGATGCGGAAGCCCG